TTTTNTTTATTATTAAATTAATTAAATTTAATTTATTATATATATATATATATATATATATATATTCATCTATTAATTTATTAGTACTGTTTTTTCTTTAAATAACATATTAGGGTTTATTATATTAATAAGAAAATTAATCTCTATATAAAGATCATAAATAAGTAATGCTATAATTAAAAGTATCATTAGTCATGAAAATTTTGTTTCATATGGAAAATTTAATATTAGAAAGTAAAGACTGACTTATTCCAAAATATTTTATATATATAACATAAATTATAAGAATTCGAATTTTTGTGGTAATATATAAATATAAAGATAATATTTTTTATTTATTTGTATAAAAATACAAACATAAAACAATAAAATATTTGCAATAATAAACTAAAAATAAGCTTATATTTTTAAATGATTTTCTTTAATTTTTAATGTATTTTTTTTGGTTAATATTAACTTTTAAACTTATATTTATTATAAACTCTATAATTTTAAAACATTAATTATTTCTGTTTTAAAAATAATTTATCTTTATACTTAGTAAAAATATTATTCTTAGTTTAATATAAATTAAATTAATATGTTAATATAAATAATAAATCTATATTTAAAATAGTATATATATATATAATAAAAATTAAATGGAAATTATATTTATCTTGAGGGGTTACCTAGTTTTTATTTTGATTATATAAATACAGATTATAATAGTAAATATTTATATCATTGTTTTTTCTATTTTTATCATTTTATATATTATATTAATTTAATTTTAATAGTATTTATAATATTAATTTAATCAAAAAATTAAAAATACTAATAATTGAATATTATGTAAGAATATAACCTTGTTTTGATTATGTAAATATTAATATAGTTTTAAATTTAATTAAATAATTATTTAGTTCAAATAAATATTTTAGTTGTATCTAGAAGTATATGAATTAATTATTAATTTTATTTAAAATAAAATAAAATATTTTGTATATATATATATATTAGTTTTTTATTTATTCACATATTTTTCATAAAATCTTTTTTATTTATATATTTTTAAAAATCTTTTAAAATGAAAAAATTTTAAATATTAAATGTTTTAAAAATAAGTAAAACTATTTTTATTTTTAATATCAAAATTACAAATATAATAAATTAAATAATTATTATTTAATTAATTTAATAAAAAAAATAATATATATAAATATTTTTGATATATGTATATTATTTTATATAGATTAATAGAATTTATAGATATATTTAATAATTATTTTATTTTATTAATATTTATATCAGAAAGTTTTATAAATTTTACTAAATGATTTAAACAATTTTTGAAGCAGTAAAAACTAATGTATTGATATTAATTATCATTTTTGTTATATGCCCAATTTATTTAATGTTTGGAAATTTTATTTCAATATATTATAGGAATTTATGGTTGATAATTAGCAATAGAAATTCTTGGATTTTTAAAAATATAGGTGATCTATCATTTCTTTTTCCTTTTAATGTAATTTTTAATATAACTATATTTATATATTTATAAATATTTATTAGTCAAAAAATAATGAAATCAGACTTACTGATACTCTTTTAATATCAGCTATATGTGCAATTTTAACTGTTACTTTATTAGCTGCAATGATATGGAATAATATTTAATATAAGGAATAAATAATTGAAGAAGAAAAAAGAAATAAAATTGAGTAAAAAAAGAAAAATAAAAAAGAATATTGAAATTAATTATATTATTTTTTTAAATACTTTTTATAAAATAAATATTACAAATGTATTTTAGTTTTGGATAAAAATCATTTTTTATTTATAATTTTTTTGTTTAAAAATAGTTTAGATATATAAAATATATATTTAAAATATAAATTAAAAAAAATAAAAAAAATACTTATTTTATTTGAATTTTTTTCTTTTATATTTATTTTCATTATTAAATTAAAAATGCAACTCTACATATTTTATAATTAAAAATTTATAACATATAAAAAATAAATAAATTTAAAAAAAAACAAAAGAAATATGAGCAATTTATAATAATCTCAAACAAATCATTAAGTAAATAATAAGCTTCCAACCCTAAACTAGAGGAGCAACATTTTATCAGATTTTAACGCTTCAACAAAATTATAATATTTAGGTGACAAAAAATCTGAAAAATCCGCACAATTCTTTAAAGATACTAAAGTATAAAGTTGTTCATATATATCTCTTAAAACAGGAGTTCCTCAAGCAATTCCTTACTATTGTTAACCAAATAAAACTTATGCTGATAAAATGTCAAAAAGCTCTTATTAAACATCATTTTATTAGTAAATAATAATATTAAACTATTTAAATTAAATTTTTATTATTTATAGAGATGTATATAAAGTAAGACCATATTAACATGTAGGGATGAATAATAAACCACTTGATACATATCATCCTCATTCTTATAGGAACAGATTACCAGTACAAGATGCACCTCCTTAATTTACAAATGCCTCATAAATAGAAGTCGGAGATAGATCGTAAATAAATTGATTTTATTTATTAGTTATTGTTTTTTTTTTTTTTTTTAAAAAAAAAAAAAATTTATATTAAAAGAGAGGTTAATCATAGAAGATTTGTTAGTTAATCTAGAAATGTTTATGGTAATTTCGGAAAATTCGATCCGGTAACTAATACAGGTATTATTGCTAGATAAACAAAATGGCACCATCATTTATAATAAAAATGAGCAAAAAAATATTATATTTTTAAGAATTTATATTTAGTATGGAAAAAAATAAATATATATATATATTAAAGAACCTTCTAACTTTTTTATATTTATGTTTTTATTTTGCCTTGTAAATGAAAAATAATAAAAAACATATGTAATAGATATTAAATTAAAGTAATTTATTATAAAAATAAAATAAAAAAACTATTATATATAAATATAAAAAAACTTGGAAGGTTTTTTAATAATTATAAAATTTATGAATATAATACTATTTCTATATAATTTTTTTATTATTTAAATTATAATAAAAAAAAGTAATGTAAAATAATTAATTATTAAAACAAAAACATAATTAATTATTTTAAAATTAAAAAAGTGATTTTAAATAAATAATATGATAATAAATATTAAATTAATTTTATTTTATTTTTATAAAAAAGTTATAAATATTTTTTATTGATAAAATTTTATAAATTTCATATATTATTTTTTTATTTTTTTTTTTAAAAAAAAAAAAATATTATTAATAAAAAAAAAATGTAATATAATAATAATAATTTGAACTAATATGTTTATTAAGTTCCTTAAAACTTAGTAAACTCTACTTTTATATCTCCTAATTATTAACCTTAAATAATAATTAATACTCCCCAGTCTACATCAATTCCTCTAAGCTAAAGTTACAATTCTGTTCCTTAATATGTAACTTAAATTCCTTAATAAAATATGGTATACTAACCCTAAATTATTCCAACTTAATCACAACAACAATTAAGCTATATCCATATTACTTAAACGCCTTAAAATAGTAAAAAATACGATTAGAAGTACGTTGATAATGCCTTAGCATTAAGATAATGTAATATTATACATATACATATATATAAATTTTCTTTATTAAAATTATATTAGAAGTAAGCACTAGTAACTAAAATTTAATGACCTAAAACATTGCAAGTAAAATTTTAAGTAATTAAGAACTTTCTTAAAGCAATATTCCTGATAATTTTTACAATCAAAACAGAAGTAATTTTTTGTTTAAATATAAAAATATTTTTATTTAATTAAAAAAAAAAAAAAAAAAAGGAGAATAAAAAATGAATATAAAAGCTTAAATTAATTAACTTAAATATATATAAAATGAGCTAGTGATTGGCTAAATTCAGTATTAAAATGAAGTCGAAAGTATGTTTAATAGTTACTAATAAGAACTTAAGAATATTATTTCTTAAAATTAAAAAAACCCAGGATTAGAATTGCAGTACTAAAGTTAAATTGATTCTTTGTAAAAATAATTATCTTAAAAAGACGAAGAAATAAACTAATATAAATGCAATTAGAAATAATTAAAGGAAAATTATTTAGCCTTAAATCACTAGTTTAATAAGGAATAATAATTAAAATTTGAATCAGATAAGAAAGTTTAACATTTATAAAATCTTTAACTAATAAGTTAAGAAGAAATAAGTCTACTTAAAAACGAATAAGTTAATTATGAGAAAATAATTGAAAATTTATAAAAAAGTTAATAAAATTAATAAAACCTTAATAATGTTTTTCATGAAAATTAACAAGTTTAATAAAAATACTTAATCGTCCTTTAAGAAAACGAAAAGCTTTAAATTCATTTAAATGAAAAATAAAATTAAATAATATAGAATTCAAATCAAATTTAGAATTTGGCTCTTATGAATTAACAATAATAGACTTAAATAGAAATTTTTAATGAATAATTTAGCAAATAATAAATATAATTGAAAGAATTAGAACAATAAATACAATTAAAATAATAACTGGAAGTATAATTAGAGTAAGAAATAGTAAAAAAAGACAAAAAAATTCAATAAGATAAACAAGAATACATTGATAACTTAAATAAATTGTAAGAAGAAAAAATATAAATAACTTAATAATTTTAAAAACTCTAAGAAGAAAAATAACAGGATACAGATAATGAATAAGAAAAGGACGTTTATTTAAATTAACTTAAGTAATTAAATAGTTTAATTACCTAAAAAAATGAACAATTTAATATATTATAATAGAAAAATATGGAGCTTTAATTGGAAAACTAATCTTTAAATGAAGTTAATAACAAAAACTAACTTCTATAAGAGCAAAATTAAAGCATTAATTAATAATATTTAGTTTTAAAAGAACAAATTATTTAGTTAACTGAACATGTTTAAGATTTGACAGTAAAATTGAAAGAAAAAGTAAATGAAAATATGTAAATTAGTTAAAAAAATGAGTAAATTTTTAAAGAAAATAAGCAATAGTTAGCCACATTAAATGAAACTTAGATTTTATTAAAAGAAGAGAATGAATTTTTAATTGAAAAAAATAAAATATAGAATGAAGAAATAAATAATCTGAAGAATTAAATAGAATTACTTAAATTATAATTGGATAATCTTTAAAAAAATGATCAATATAATTCGGAATAACTAAACTTGTAATTTTAAGAATCGCTTGAAGAAAAAACATTCGAATACGAGAATTAAATTGAATAGTTAAATAAAAAGATAAAAGACTTAAAAAACGAAAAAGAATAAATTAAAATGTAGAAAAGCTTAAGTTAAGATCAGGAAAACATTCCAAACTAAGAAAAAATAAATGACCTTTAAATTTAAATGTAAGAATTATTAAATAAAGTAAGCTTATTAAATGATTAAAAATTTGAAAAAGATAACGAAATCTTAGATTTATAAAATTAAATATCAAATATTACTTAATAAAAGGCTAATTGTTTAAATGAATTAGAAAATATATAATAAACTAGCAACTAGATCTAATAAAAGAATTAATAAGAAATAAATAATTTAAAATAATCCAAATAATAGGAAATTAACAGTTTATAAGAAAAAATATTATTAATGTAAGAATAAAATTAGTTATTATAATAATAAACATAATAATTATAAGAAAAACTTTAAAATATTGAATAAACTTAAAATATAAAATTAGATTAGTAAAGTAAATAAACATAAGAACTTCTAACTAAAAACTAATATTAAAGTGATGAAATTAATGAATTAAAAATATAATTATAATAATTAAATATTAATGTAACTAGTTAATTAAATGAAAAATATTAGGAAAGCTTAAATAATTTAAAAAATCATTATTTAAATGAATTGGAAAACTAAGCTTCTGAATATAGATAAGAAATCGAATAATTATAAATACAAAAGAATAAAATCGAATAAATAAATCAATAGTAAGAAATATAGATTTAAAACATTAAAGATTAATTATAAAATTAAATTCTTAAATAAAATGAGAGTTAATAATAAATTCTAAAAATTACTTAACAAACAGATTAATAAATTTAAGGTTTAAATGAAGAAAGTAGAAAATAAATAGATTAAATAGTATCTTTTGAACATAAAATATAAGAACTTTAATCATAAAATTAAGTTTTAAATAATGAAATATAATAAATAAGAGAACAAAATTAATAATTATTAATTATTTAATAATAATTGAAAAATAGTATTAGTTAATAAGAAAAAGAATATTAAGATTTAAAATAAGAAAACTTATCGAAGACTTAATTAAATAGTCAATTATAAAAATAACTTGACTAAATAAATCAATCAAATACTGAACTATAAAAATAAGTTTGCTAATAATAATAATTAAATTATGATTTATAATTAACTTTACAAAATGTTTCATAAAATATGAATTGTTAAGATTATATCCATAATATGGATTAATTTAATTCTTAAATGTTTGAAAATATAAATTAATAACTAAAAAATATTAATCTTAATTTATAAAAATAATAATCACTTAATGAACTAAGTTAAGATAATTAGAATTTGTAAGTAAACTTGTTAACTGAAATCGAATAATTACATAATATTAGTAATGAAATAGAAAGATCTTAATAATAATTAAAATAAAAAACTTAAATTTAATAATAGTAAATAGAATAGCAAGATTAAGTGAAATTAACCGAAAATATTTAAGAAGGATTAAATTAATAAAATAATGTTAATTAAATTTAATATATTTAATATTAATTCTAACAAATCAATTAACTTAAAGAAATTAATTAATAAATTGAAACTATTAAAATACAAATGGAAAACAGATTATAAGAATATACCCAAAATGAAAAAAAATAAGAATAAATACAAATATAATAATCAAAATAATTAGAATAACTATATTAGGATCTAAAAAATAATAACAATTAGAATCGTTTGAACTTATATCTATAAAATACATAATAAGATTAAGAATCTATATTAAAAATTAAAATTTTGTAATAGAAAATTGAAGAAATTAACTTATATAATTAAAAAATAGTTTAAGAAAATAAAAATTTGAATGAATAAAATCGCCTATTATTGGCTTAAATTTAAATTTAGAAAGATTTCTTATCTTAATAAAGTCAATAAGAAATAATTGAAACATAAGAAATAAAGTTAATTAATAAAAATATAGAAAATTCTGAAAAATAATATATTAATAATAAAAACACATAAGAACATTAAAATTTAAAAATTTAAATTAAATAATAAAAAGAGGAAGATTAATTAAATAATAATTATTTGTTAAAAATTTAAAACTTAGAAAACTAATTGGAAGAATATTAGTAATTAAAATAAAAATATGATGAATTAAATGAAAAAAATAACTTAATTTCTAAAGAAAATGATAAATTATATTAAGAATCTTCAACCTTTACAATTAATTATTAATAAAGAATAATTAAGAAAAAAGAAAAAATAAGATAATTAAAATCAAAAGTTGAATAATTATAATTAAAAAGTAATATTGATAAAAACAGAAAAGAAAATAATAATTCAACTGAAACTTAATAAAATTCCCAAGAAAGTTAAATTAACCATTTAAATAATAAGAAAACATAAAAAAAAACTAATTAATAATTAAAAGAAGAATAATAATAATAAATTAATTTTTAGCAATTATTAAATTTATCAAATTTAATATATTAAGTAAATAAATGAGAACATTATTATTGATATGTTATCCATCAAAAGATACTTTTATATTAAAATATTTATTTATTTCCTTTATTTATTAAATATTAATATAGAATTAACATATAAATTAAATTATTAAATATATATATATATATATATATATATATATATATAATTTTAAATCATAATTATTTTTATTTTTATATTAATTATAGTTTTTATATTATAATTTGATTGGTTTAAGTTTTTAGTTTTTCATTTCTTTTTTATCTTTTTAACTTTATTTCTTGTTTTATTTATTAAATTGGAAAAACGTAATATATTTTAGTTAGAAACGCATTTCAATTTTGCTTTTTGAAATACTTATACAAACATTGAATAATAAAATAAAATTTAAATAACAAATAAATTAAAAATAATAATGAGAAAGACGGAATTAGTTATAATTTTACTTTTTATAAGAATATAATAAATATATTTAACAAAGTATTTATTTAAAATTTACACTATTATATAATTATATTTATAAAAATATTTATTATTAATAAAAAAGATTAAGAAATTAAGAACTATTATATGTAGGTCTACCAAAATAAAATGAATTTTAAGAAAGCAATAGTTAATTATAATAAAATGTTAATTAAAACTATATTAGCAAAACAGCTTTAACCATAAATAAAGATTAAAAAATAATAAATTAAGAAATTTAATAAAATGAAAATCAATAAAACGAAAAATAAGAACCAAGTAAAAATCTTGAATAATTATTATCAAAATAAGCTTAAAAGTAATAATTTAAGGATTTATAAAAAGAGAAACAATAAGAAAATCAAATTTTACTTAATAAAAAAATGATGGTTTTTAATAATAATAAAATAATTAATAAATAAATGTCTTTATAGATATTTAATAAACAAATTAAGGTACTAAAAATTTATAATATATAATATATTTATAAGTTCTCTTTAAAAAACAGAACAAATAGAATAATAATAATATTACAAAAAGTTATATAGATAAGAATTCAAACCTATTACTGATAATATTTAATATTAAATAAATACTAACAATTAATAAACATCAGAAATACAAGAAAATCAAATAACTTAAAACAATAATACATAAATTTATTAACAAGATCAATATAATGTTAATTAATAATCTGAAGAGTCTTAATAATAAGCTTATGTTGATATATAAAATTAAGATTAATAACTTTTTGCCGCATAAGCAATTAATATTCACATTTTAAATGATAGTTAATAAAATAATTAATTATAAAATTAAGATTAAAATTAAAACAACCCTACTTAAGAAGATATTTAAATCATTAATCAATGTAAGTTTTATAAATACTTAATATAACAAAATTAAATATAGAATAAGAAATATTATAACAAAGTACTGATTATAAACAAAAAATTAGAAAACAGTATTATAATGATTTATTTAATTAATATTATGCAGATTAAGAAAAAAGTATTATATCTTTATTATTTTATTTTAATTATAAAAATATAAAATTAAAGGTAGTTAAATTATTTAGTATATAATTAGCCAAAATGATAATGAATTTGGTTGAGTTTATATTTTTTTTAAAATATGAAAAATTTAAATATAATTCAAATATTTTTATTATTTAAATTAAAAATCAAAATCAATAATTATTAAGCTTAAATATTACAATAAATTTGATTTAAAATATATATATATATATATATATATATATATATATATATATTATTATTATATATATATATAATTATTATTATTTTTTTTAATTTTTGAAAAATAATATACATGTGTTTTTTTGTTTCTAAAGCAAAGCATATTTCATAATAAGATAAATATATAGTATCCTAATGTGAAGAATATGCTAAACTACTTTAAAAAAAATATCAAAATATTTATATGTAATTAAACTAAGATAAATAATAATTTTTTTATGATGCTTAATTATCAGATATGTAAATAAGCATAAATTAAATTCCTTATTTAATATAGTTAACATATAATTTAATTTAAGAATAAATAAATGAAGATTAGAAAAATTTATTAGTAGATGCATTAAAGAAATATTTATCTAAATTATAAGAACATTATCTATTAATTGTTAAATTAAGTTAGTAATCAGAATAAATTTTAAATATATATAATTAAATAGTTTTAAAATATAAAATTAAATAATCTTCTATTATTAAATAAATTTAAATATATTATAATCAATTCAAGTTTTTTTAATAAGATATAAATATATCTCAGACTTTTAAAAGCGAATAATAAGCAATATTAACTTAAGAAGAATAAGACAGATTAAATAATAGATTAAAAAGTGTTATTAGTAGTTTATGTTAGAGTATTAAATTAGACTGATTTATTTTTTTCTTCATTATTAAAGTTAAATTTTAAAATATTTATATATAAAATAAAAAAAATGTTATATACTATGTAAAACTTTATTTATAATTATGGTTATCTTTTATTAAAAATAATGTTTTTTTATATTTTCTCTTTTTATAAAGTTTAAACTATTATTTATTAAAAATCTTTATAAATAATTTATATAAATTTTATAAAACTATTAAAAACTAATAAATTGTAAAATTAATTTAATATTTTTTGTATTTAAATTTAAATACAAAAATTAAAAGATTTAGTCATTATTTTGCTCTAGTTTAATTTAATTAAAATTTTATTATATTAAAGATAAATTTTTAAAATTAAATAAATCTAATTAAATTGAATTAATTAAAATTACTAAATTTTTATTAAAAATATTATAGAATTTCATTAATAAATAGTTATTTAGATTTGATTTCTCCAAAATAGATCTTTATAATTTTATTATTTTTTATTTCAATATTTTTATAAAAAATATATTTTCAGTTTTTTTTTTTGTTTTTTTTTTTTTTAATAAAGAAAATTTTTAGTTTTTTAGTTAATTAAAGAAATATATATAATATTCAAATAGAAAATAAACATTGAATAATACATATTATAAATAAATAATTAAATAAAATATAAAAATGAAGTAGTAAAGGCTTTAACAGGAAACAGCAAAATAATTGTAAATTAAAACTAGCTAAAAAGATATTCCAAAACAAAGCAAAATAATATTAAGAGACACAAATAATAGTTCATTAAATTTTACTTCAATAAGTACAAAAAGGTTAATTGATTCAAAAAAGGAAATTTTTAATAATTCAAGTATATAATATATATCAAATTAAGAAGCAATTGAGATATCACCAAACGAAGTAATATTTAATGATATAAAAGTAAACCAGATATATGAAATATTTGTATTTGTCCGTAATTTATCCAAAAAAATGAAAAGAATAAGAATTTTTTAACCATATAATCGATGTTTTAAAGTAAATTATGATATGGTTGGGGCTGTAGCTGCAGGATTGGCAATGAAATTAACAATAACATTCGAAACTTAAAAACTAGATAATTTTTCCGATAGTATTAAAATAGTTTCTGATGGAGGATATGAAAAAATAGTTTTACTACATGCTTATATGTCTTAAGGCTATATATTATTTGAACCTTTTATAAATTTTGGGTTTGTAAATGTTGGAAAAGAGAAAAGAGAAGAAATTTTATTTAAAAATGAAGGAAATAGTGAATGTAAAATAGAACTTAAGACAAATGATGTTCAAGATCTAAAAATTTTAAACCATAGTTTTATAATAAAATCAGGAGAATAATAAAGTGTTGGAGTGATTTTTTTTGGAAGAGACAGTGGAATGTACAAGGGATATATTAATGTAGTTACTGATGGACATGTATTTTAAAAATAAATTGAGGTTAATGCTACTTCAGTAAAATTTATGAAGTTTATTATTGATTAAACTGGTTTAGATGTTACATCTTTTGACTTCGGTACTTTCTATTATGGAATGAAAAAATAAATTGTTGGATATTTGGTTAATAATACACCTAAAAAATACAAATTCAAAACTAGATTTAGATAAGGTATTCTCTATAATCTTGATGATATGGCTAATATTTAACCTCCTAATGTATTTGGTAGAGAATTAACTGAAAGAATTATGAGTTGTGAGCCTTCAGAGGGTATTATTGATAGTTATAGTTAGGTTTTTTTTATTATTTTTAATATTGTATATTTAATTTCTTTATTTATTTTTTTAGGTTCAATTATTATTTACTTGCTTATCTAAAGTTGATTATAATAGTTAAGTTTGGGTCGATAAATATTGTATTGATAAAGATGAAGAAATGATTCCAAAAATTTAAGACTTTGCTTATTCTGCTATGTTTGATTTTGAAGGTGAATAATTAGATTCTATTATTGTTCATTTGACTGGCAGAGGTATATGTCCTATGGTTAAAATTGATTAATAGATAGTCTAATTTGGAGATTGTAAAGTTTTTGAACATAAAACTTTACCTTTATGTGTATATATAATAAGATATTATTTAATTTTTTTATTAAAAAAAAAAAAAAGATATAAAATAGAAATAATTAGATTCCAGTAGATATATAATTAAATACGATTCCGGGATTTTAATTTGAGCCTAAAGAAATGGTATTGAAACCAGGAGAGAAAATTAATGTATTAGCTACCTTTAGACCAAGAAACATTGGCTAATTTAAACAAAAACTATAAGTCTTATTAATAAATAGGTCTTATTCTTTAAGAGTTAAATTGATAGGTGAAGCTACTGAAATAAGTAAACTTTCAGCTAGTTTTAAAAGAGGGCCTGAAGGACTTCCAGAAGATTTTTAATTATAAAAATCATTAGAAAGCTAACCAGAAAAAAAATAGCGAGATGAACATTCAATGGTGTCTATATATCCAAAATATCTTGAATCTATTATAACCGAAGAAACTTAAATGAATAAGATAGAAGAATTAGTTAAAAGCTTCGAAAATAAACATAAATATAATAATGAATTAAAGGAATAAAGATAAGAAAGGTTAAAGAAAGAAAAAAAATAAATAGTTTAATAAAAATTCAACTAGATTAAATAAAAATTAAAAGAAATGGGTTATGATAGCCTCTAGCAAGCATAAAATAAAGATTAAAAAGATAATAATTCAAAATTTAATACTTTAGAAGCTTTCAAAGATGCTCCTGTAGATTTCGAATATGAAGTAGGAATGGTAAATGCTTGCATTGATGTTCCTTATTTGCCTCTACCTGAGTAAAAATATCTAAAAAGAATATTTAAAATAATAAATAAAAAGGGCTTAAGAAAGTCTTTTTGTGACAAAACCTATAGACAATTATGAGCCTTATAAACAAGATGAGAAAACAGGTTATTTTGAAGCAAATCCAAATGTCCATATAAAGAAGAAATTTACAGGCGAACCCAAAAACCATTCAGAAATTCGAGAAATATCAAAATAGTTGAATGGAGAAGAACTATAAAAAATATTCGCAGGGCCAGTAGAAATAGACTTTAAAAACGTTTACGTAAATTCTGAAGTAGTTAAAACTTTTAAAGTAAGAAACGATTTGAGAACTTCTATATCTGTAAAATTAGAAACTAATAAAACAGAATTGAAAAAAACTTATTAAAAAACTTAAATTATTCCTAGTGGTTAAGTCGCAGGATTTGAAATCGTTTTGAATTCTAAAAATATAGGAGCATTTAGAACTAATGTTAGATATACTATTAATGATAAGCATAAGTTCGAAATTTAAATTTTTGCTAACATTGAATTAGTTAAATTAGAATTATCTAAAAACCTTCTTAGAATGTCATTTTCAGACGATAACATAGAAATGGATACTAAAGAAATTATATAACTTACTAATAATGGTAATGCAACAGGTACTTTTAACTGGTTTACAAATAACTCCAAGAATTTTCTTATAAAACCTATGTAAGGGTAGGTTTAAGCTGGATCTTTTATTCCGCTATAAGTAACTTATAAGCCTTCAACTTTAACATCAGGAAGTTATAATGCCATTTCAATGAATAATATTGTTTTGCCTCAAAACACTAATAATACTACAAATACTGTTAATAATGGGAGTGGAGGAACATAGAATATTACAAGAACAGAAGAAGAAAAACTTATTTTAAGAGTTGTTGATGGAATGGAATAATAGCTTAAATGTATTGGAACGTTTATTGAATAAAAATGTGTTCTCAAATAGTCTTCTGTTGACCTTTAGGCATTTTTTTCTTTAAAATATATAATTAAATATATAAATAATATAAAAAATAGGAAATATCGGTTGCAAAAGTTATATAAACAAGTTTTTAAATAAAGAACAATTCACGATAACCTGCTGTATATTTTATTGATCAAAGCAAACTACCTAAAGGATTAGAAATATTAAATTTCAAAGGAAAAATAGGATGTGATGAAAGTAAAGTTATAAATATAAAATTTTGTTCTTTTGTTCCTTGTGAAGTAAAATATGATATTTATATATAAATAAGGGGTGGAAAAACATTAAAATTACCTTTTTAAGTAACTGTAATTATACCAAACGTTTAAATCGAAGAGCCTGTCTTTAATTTCGGCAATATCACAACATTGGGAAATCCAGGTGTTTTACCTTTTACTTTAAAAAATTATACAGATATTCCAGTAGAACTTATTATCGATATAAGAAACAAAGGCGATGATAGTGAAGAAAGCGAAGGAATTGACTGTCTAAAAATTAATACTTTAGATGAAGAAGGTGACGAAAGTATTTTACATTCAATACATGAAGATTTAAATTAGAGCTTTGAATAAAATTTAAATACTAATTAACAACAAAATTAATAATTACTTAAATAAAATTTAGAGGATTTAGATGATGATCAATCCGCAGCTGAATGTTAAGAAAAAGAAGAAAACGAAGAAGAAAACCATGATTAAAAATCAAGATATTTTTCATTATGTTTAAAAGGTTAATAATAACTAAATTTCCAGCTTAAGTTTTCACCTAAGAATTTCAAACCATACAAATTCATATTTCCTATATAAATAAAGAATTACGGAACTATTGAAAGCATAAAAAGATTTATTATATGTAAAGGCTTAAAACCTAAATTCTTAATAGACCCTTAAATAGTAGATTTTGGAAAAAAAATAATTACAAGTATAGATAAATAAACTTGTTCAATAAAGTCTCTTTCATTTTCAAATCCAGACAAGAATCGTGTAAAATGGAGAATCGATCCGACCGTTTTATCATAAAAAATATTTGAAATAAGGCCTGAAAGTGGAGAAGTAGGTCCTGGTGAATAAAAAAGTATATAAGTATTATTTAATCCTTTTGAATAAAATTATTACAAAAAATAAGTTCCTTTATTTATCGATGATCCAGAAATTAAAACTAATTCTTCTTATGTTGATATTATACTTAAAGGAGAAGGAGCTTTCCCAAAACTACTTTTTGATAGAAAAGAAGTCATTATGCCTGTTGTTCCACTTAATATTTATTCTAGATGTGCTTTTAAAATTATTAATAGTGGATATGATAATCTAAACTTAAAATATAAACTAGTTGATGAACCTCCAAAAGGAGTTAATATTAATATCGAATTTCCTGAAGGAAAAAATCTAGGAATCGCTAAGACTAGATTAAAAGTGAATGTTTCTTTTATAAGCAAGAAAAGTATTTCTTTTTCTACTAAAGTTGAATTTTAAGACGATTAAGATAGAATTTATGAAATAATTATAAGTGGAACTGCTGATAATTGTTTATTTACAAATTTCACTTATATGCAAAGATGCCCAGGTGAATTTAAATTTAACTTAGAACATAATAAGTCGCCTTTAACTTTATTAGAATACGATATAAACGATAGTAATTCAAGTTTTTCCGAAAATAAAAAATTTTCTTAGCCTAAAGCTAGGAGTGTAGTTTCAAATAAAACATATAGTTCTTTGGGAGGAACAAACAAATCTTTAAAAAGTATTCTAGGCTATAGTCCTATTTCAACAAATTATATAGAAAATAATATCGAATTTTTAAAAAGATGGCTTAATTTTAACATTTTAAATTAAGACATTGACTCGTTTCCTAATAGTATTATTGAATAGCATGGTGCGTAATTATTTGATATTTTAGCCTATTTTTCTGATAAGAATAATAATAGTTTTAAGGCTAATATTGAAGCTCATACTAAAAGAGCTGTGAAAGTGGAAAGGCTATATAAATAATATGATGATATTATAAAAATTCTAAAATAAGATGGAGCTTTGCTTAATCACATAAGGCCTGAATATTTATTAGTCTATACTGATTACTTGTTCTATATGAAAAATTTACCAAACTAAAACAAGTAATTAATTGCTCCTTCCGCATTAAAACTTTCAAGTTAAATTTTTTAATATATTTCAATCGATGCTTGGACTCATATGATCTATTAAATTTTAAAAGTCTATTATTTGCAAAGAATTAATCCAAAAATGTACAAGTCAATTTAAGGAATTCCTCCAGAGAAAATTAGTATCCCTGAATATATTGATGGAAGCAATTTTATTTCCTAAAGTGAAGCTTTATTGATACATTGGTTCGAAACTCATCACGAAATTATAAATCCGATCTAAATTAGAAGAATTAGAAATTTCGATGAAGACTTTTAAGATGGAAGTGTTTTCGCTTCCGCAATTCAATCACATATAGGAGAAAACTCATATTAGCTATTTAAAAAATTCAAATAAAGTTGTGGAAGTGAATAAGAAATTATTTATAATGCTGAAAAATTAATTTTAGCATTAAATGTAATTAATAAATAAATATTTATAATTATACATATTTTTATAGAATATAGGAATGAAAACACATTTAGTTGTAAAAGATTTCTAACGCCCATAAATGTAAGAAATGTTAATTATCGGTTTATAATTATTTAATGCTTTACCTCATTACATACCTAAAGAATAAGTTGTCATTTTCTAATGTGTGTTAGGATAAGAAGTGATAAAAACAATAACGTTAACAAATAAAACAAAAAAACAGGTAAGCTATTGGGTTAATTTAGAGTAATAAGATAATGACTTTTCTTTAGAAAACGAAGATAATTTTGTTATCGAGCCTGATGGAGTTGTGAATTTTAAAATAAAGTTCGTTTCTAGAATTTCTGAAAGTGTTTCTGCCAGAATAAGATTTACAAACAAAAAAGAAAGCAATGTATGCGCTGCTGCTTTAGTTTTTGAACTAAAATCATAGATTATAGGTAGAAACTCTGACGAAATCTGGAAAATGACTAGCAATTTATATGAACCTTAGGAAAAACTTTTAAGTATTACTAATAAATTTACTAAAAGTGAAAAGGCAGAATTTTAAATTACTATAATTTAAGAAAAATTCAAATAAAATGACTCCAAAAAAAAGAAAAATTAAACTAAAAAAGATTAAAATGAATCCCATATGACTTAATTACTTCCTGCGGAAAATAACGATATATTTACTACTTTTTTTACCACCAAAACTACTATTAAAATCGGAAAATTATAAACAGTAATTTTACCTGTTACTTTTTTGCCTTTACAAATGGAAACTTAAAAATGTTATATTATTTTTAGAGATCCTTTAGTAGGTAAAAAAATAAAAAAATATTAAAAAATAAATAAAAAAAAGGTGAATTTCAACATGAAATTATTGGCACTGTAGAAATGCCAAATATATAAACTGACACAATAAAATTTCCTCTTACAAATATGAAAACATTATATGTGGATGAAAATGCAGTATAAGAATTGGAAATTCCTTTTTAAAATGAATCATAAATACGTGCCAGAAAACAAGTGTAAGCATTTTATATGGAAAAAAATAGGGAAAAATTAATGAAATAAAACTAAAATTATTGTAATATAGCAGATAAATAGACTTATTTAGCTATGGAAAAATTGTAATTCCCAGGCGGTTCACCTGACTTAATTTAGTTTGAAGTTGAAATAATTCCTTCAGCTTCTTTTGTAACATGTGGTAATTAATTTAGCTTATATAATCCAAATAAACTAATAAAAAAAACCAATGATTAGTAATTTACTTCTAATAAATTGGCTCTTAATTTTCTCTTTAGATAGCCTGTTAAGGAATATAAATTCCTTTTAGTTCTTAAAAATGCACAAAAAACTGATATTAGACGCTACAAATGTGAAGTTAATGTCAATCCAAGACCAATAAAAGCCTTCATAGAGTTTAAAGTACCAGCTAGGCTTTCAGTATCTTAAGAAATTCCTTTAGTAAATAGTACTGAAAGGGAATGGAATCTAAAAGTGGGATTTAATGAAGAAAACTAAGGTAAGAATGCTCAATTATTTTAAATTCCTCCAATTAAAGAATTTGTTGTCAAAAAAAAATCAACAGGAATATTCCTTGTAACTTTTAGTCCTAAATGGATATGTTAAGCATTTTCAAAATTAACATTTTTTAACCCAAATACAAATGATTTCATTGAATATGAACTTAAAGGTATTGGGGAAGAGCCAGTAGCAGAAGAACATATAATAATAAATTGTAAAGCAAAACAGAAAACAAAGAAAGAAATTGTAATTAAAAATCCTTACACTGACCGTGAGGTTACATACAAAGTCGAAACAGATCTTATTAATACATCAGGACCTTCTACAATAAATATTAAACCTGGAAAAACTACTTAATATGCGTTTACTATGTAAAAACTATTTATATTTTACTTATTTTTAACTATTTTTTTTTTAGACATCCTGTTCTAAGTGGATAGTTTACTGGTTCAATTACATTTTATGAAAATGAATAAAATTATTTGTGGTATACTGTCCTTTTAAATACTGAAATACCAAAATGTGAAAAAATAATTGACCTAACTACTTTTATAAGGCAAGCCGTAACATTCGATATTGAGATATATAATAATTTACCTTAATAAGCTATTTTTGATGTTGTTATTAATGGGGATACACTTTTTGGTAATCAATATTTATAAATAGAAGCTAAGTAAACAGCAAAATATTCCCTTTTATATTAACCTAATATAGTGGGTAGAAGTAAAGGATCAATAGCTTTTATAAATGAAAACTTAGGTGAAATCTGGTATGAACTAAGTCTAAATTGTGAAGAACAACCTCCTCAAAGACTTAATTTACTAAAAAGTGAATTAGGGAAATTTTCAAAGCATTAAATTTTTCTAGAAAATCACACTTAATAGGAAATTTAGGCAACCTATACAATTAGTAATGTTACTAATTTCTAGATTTCTCCTGAAAATATTGTTTTAAAACCTTTATAAGAAAATATGATTGAAATTATTTATATGCCATCTAATTTAGAAGTAATTTTTTTTTTTTTTTCTTCATTAAATTTATTATTTTAGATTATTGAAAGTGCAGAAATTATAATTTCTACTAAAAATATAGGAAAATGGTAATATTTGGTTTTCGGATAAGGTATTCCCCCAACTAAATTTGAACCTTTATTGGTTTCTATAGGAATTAACAAATATTTTTCTTCGACAGTTCATTTCAAGAATCCTTTTAAAGATACAATAAATGTTAATGTAAGTTTAGAAGCAAAAGTAACAAAAATAATTTTAATAATTATATATTTATTATTGAATATGAAAAAAAAAAAAAAAAAGGATGAAAGCTAAAATGTGTTCAAATTAATACAAAAAACTAAAAAAAATTAAAAATAATTAACAGTAGCAGGAATGAATATAGCCCAAATTCCATTTTCATTTATTCCAAGAGAAATAAACACTTATGAATGTGAAATTATAGTATCAATGAATGAAAAAATAGAATGGAGATTTCCAATTATAGGAATAACCGAAAATGTAATAAATTAAGTAATTCACCATTTTAAAACTTAGTGTAGAGAATCTTGTGAAGAAGAATTAAAAATAACACTTCCTTCTGTAATTTATAAATAAATGTTATTTTATTTTATTTTATTTTAAAAATAGATTAATTAATAAGTAAATTAAAGCGATATTTTTGATTATGAACTAGATGGAATTCCTCCTGAATAAAATAAACTTGTTAGATAAAGTGTATTTATTAAAACTTACAAAAATAGTATTTCTTCTCCAGATGATCATCTTATTTTTAATTGTAAATTTTCTCCTTTAAAACCATTTAAGGAAACTATAGAATTCAATATAATAAGATAATTGGGAGGAAAATGGAAGTAAATAATATTTAACTTTTTTTTATTTTTTTATTTTTTTAAAATAAATAAATTATATTTTAAGATTTAAACTCTTATTTGAAGCTATAGAACCTAAAGAAGATGATACAATTTATATAAGTTCCGAATTACAAAAAACTACAAGTGTTTAATTCAAACTTACAAATAAATCGAAAACATTTACTCCATTTAAAGCTTATTTTACTCCTTCTTCTGACTCAGAGTTTACTGTTAGACCTAAAGAAGGAGAATTGGAATCATATGGAAGGGAAGGAACAAATTTCGTAATTACTTATACGCCTATCGAATATGGAAAATAGAGTAATGGTAAACTTATTATAGAGACAGAAGAAATGATATGGTATTTTATTAACTTTTTATTTTCTTATATTTATTAAAAAAAAGGTCTTATATCGTTAAAGGTAATTTACCTAAATACTTTCCTCCAGTAGCAGATGCGAGTATCATTGATAATAAAATAGGGAATGAAATTTTATAAAAAAGTCTATATAACAATGCTATTAATTAATCTAAAAATTTTATGGCCGAAAATATAAACAAAGCTAAAAATATGAGTCCTGTTAAAACATAATAATTAAAAAATTAACTTTCTTAATAAATTAGAGATAAAAAATATTGAAATTTAGTTAATGTTTTCCTTTTTTATAATATTAAAATTTTCTTCAAATCAAATAACTATTTTTTTATTTATTTTAGAAAATAATTTACATTTAAATTTATCAAAAATTAGAATTTAATTTTAAATATTTATAATTACATTTCAAAACAAATAAATAAATATGACAGAATTTTTAATAACTATAAATTATATAAAGTTCAAAAAAAATATTAATATTTGTTTATAAGAATAAAAAATATCTTATAAATCATAAATACATGGAAATAAATATTTTTTATATATATATATATATTTTTTTTAATACTTAACTATCTTACTAACATATTAACTTTAAAAAGTTTTTAAATATTATCTTTTAATTTTTTATATAATCTTAAATAATATTTAAAATTAATTTTTAATAATCATAATTTGTTTTGTAAAATAAATATTGAATTTATTTTCTTGAAATAATTTTTTTTCTTTCTATATCCAAATATTATATAGAAATTTCTATTTAAATTACTTTATCCACTCTAGATATTTTAAACCCTCTCGAAAAGTAAATCTATCTATAATTTCACCTATTTGTTTAAAGAAAATATACTTACTTACATACTTACTATTTTAATTTCCGTCAAAATTAATTTAAAAACCTTTTAAAAAGCCTAATTGCACTCTAAATCTTAAAATAGTAAAAATATTAAATTTCAAAGGTTAATTATTAAAGTGTATATGATAATTATTTATTTCGTTTCATTTAAAAAAAAAATATTTCAGTCATAACAATATCTCTACTTATAAAATTTTTTTCTTCATTTAGATAAATTGTATTTTTTTTCATTTAGATAAATTGCATTTTTATATATTATTTGTTTAATTTAATCTTCTAGTTTAACATTTTTATCCTCTAGAGTAATTTTTTTTCTTTTTTTAAACTTTATAATGGTAAAGTATCACTTTGCTATGGTTTAACAAGTTTTTTATATTATTAAAGGATTATTTTTAAATCATAAAATCATTTAAAGTTCTCTTTTTTTAAAAAATAATATTTTGTATATTGAGATGTAAAATCAATGATTTATTTTTTAATAAAACTTATTTATATTATTTTTTTATTTAATTTTTTTTTTAAAAAAAATACTTTATTTAATTATATTTTTTTAAATGCCTTTAATTACTTTTTAAATTACTGATTATTATATGAATCCGTATTTAAAACTTAAAACATTATTTAAAACTTCATATTTATATATATTCCGTAAAATAAACCCAGTGCATTAAAATTTACTTTTTTTTATTTATTTAAATCTACAAATGAGTAAAAACATAAATTATTTAAACAAAAAAGATTATAAAATAAATTAAAAAAATATGTTTAAGAAATATTTATATTAAATTTATAATATTTAATAAAAATAAAAAAGAACACAAATTGTATTTAAGAATTTTTAATAAAAAACAAATCCTCAAATCAAAAAATTTACAAAGAATGCTTTTCGTAAATTGAGATTTTTAAATTAATGGATGGATTGCGGCTTATATTAAATATAAGGTATTTATAATTATTTAATGAAATAATAAATTAGATAAATTTATTTGTTTATAATATTTTTTTAAAAAATATTTATTTTAATAATTTATTTTAATTAACAATATATAATTGTTTTATTTTTTTTTATATTTCACAATTAAAGAATAATTAAGTCCTTATCTACAATTTTTTTAAAATAAATACTTAATTGATGATATTTAAGAATAATAATTCATAATTATAATATAATATTTTTATAATTTAAATTCATAAACTAGAACTTTATTTTATTTTAAATTTTTAATTTTATAAATAATTTAAATATTCTATTAAACTATTTAATTTTATAAATTATTATTATTAAAATTTTTGTTTAATATGTAAATTATTTAATATTAGGCTAAAATGAACACATTTAAATCAATGTTAACTTAAAATAAAAAATTGTTTTTAAGTAATAAATATTTTATTTTATATAAAATAATTATATTATTTTTCATTTAAATATATTTTTATTTTGTACTTTTTTAATAACAATAAAAAATTATAACCATTTTACCGCCAAAATTATATATTATTTTGCGCTAAAAAAAACTTAATATTTTATACCAAAATTTATTTATAATTAACAAAAAATAATACTATAAATTATATAAAAAAAATATGAACTAAAATTATACAGGTGTAAGCTAATAAAAGATAGAGAAAGTAAAAGCTGTCTTTTATAATTTCTTAGATGAGTAATTAAAAATAAACAAAATTTAACTTTAAAATAAAAAACTAATAAATAAAGGTTTACAGCAATATTAAATATAAATGGTTAAGAAGAATCGTAAAAAGTGTATGTTTAGCAAGTTATTGATATGAAAAAAAATTTGATTAATACTTTATATGTAGATTTTTCACACTTTGCATAATTCTCACAACCCGAAGTTCTAGATTTTATAATTAATGAATACTATAAAATTGAACCTCATCTTTAATAAGTTGTTCCAAATTTCATACAGTCAGTTTTATAAGAATAAATGTAATACATTATATAGATTTATATATTTCTAATATATATAATATATTTATATTATAAAAAAAGAGTAAAAGATGCTATCTACTATTTGAGTTTTTATAATAAGCCTAATCCTTTAAAAATAAGAAACTTGGTAACAGCTGAATTAGGAAAGTTAAATTGTATAGAAGGTTTAGTAACAAGAACTTCAGAAGTACGCCCTGCTCTTTAATTTGGTACTTTTTAATGCTAGATATGTAATAGTGAAGTCAAAGACATTGAATAATAATTTAAATACACATAGCCTAAAGTATGTAGCAACCCAGGCTGTAACAATCATGATAAATGGAACTTATTAGCAAATTAAAGTTTGTTTGTAGATCTATAAAAAATAAGAGTTTAGGAAGATTCAAGTAGCATTCCAGCCGGTAGCATGCCCAGAAGTTTAGATATTATTTTGATCAATGAAATTGTAGAAACTGCTAAACCAGGAGATGTTTGCTCTTTCACAGGATTCTTGGTGGCCTTCCCAGATATTACAGCTTTAACTAAGCCAGGTGAAAAAGCTTAATTAGAAATGAAAAATGAAGGAATTAAAGTTAGAAATGAAAACGCAGGAGATGGTATTACAGGGTTATCTTAATTGGGATAAAGAGACTTAAATTATAGATTAGTATTTTTGGCAAGACATGTCTAGAAAACATAAACGAAATTTACAGTAGGAAAAAAGGATTTGGAAGAAGAAGAAGAGGAAATGTCAGAAAAAGAAAGAGAATTATTAATAAAAGAAAAGTTTACATAAAAAGAACTTCAAAGAATAAAATATATGTTCGATAGTTCTAAAAGTATATATGATAAATTAGCAGGTTCTCTTGCTCCATAAATACACGGTCATTTAGAAATCAAAAAAGGAATTCTTCTAATGCTTTTTGGAGGAGTTAATAAAAAAACTGAAGAAGGAATTAACCTAAGAGGAGATATTAATATATGTGTAGTTGGGGACCCTTCAACTGCAAAATCTTAATTTCTTAAATATGTGCATAGGCTTGTTAAAAGATCAGTTTATACTTCTGGTAAATCTTCAACTTCTGTTGGTCTTACTGCAAGTGTAAGCAGAGATCATGATACTGGTGAAAATTGTATTGAAGCAGGAGCTTTATTATTGGCAGATCATGGAATTTGCATGATTGATGAATTTGATAAGATGGACAAAGCTGATTAAGTAGCAATTCATGAAGCTATGGAACAATAAACTATCTCTATTACTAAGGCAGGTATTCAAGCAACTTTGAATTCAAGAACAAGTATTTTGGCTGCTGCTAATCCTTTGTTTGGAAGATATGATAAATCCAAAAGTTTAAAATATAATTTAGATATTAGTGCTCCAATCATGTCTAGATTTGATCTTTTCTTTGTAATTTTGGATGATTGTAACGAATAAGTTGACAAATATATTGCTAAGCACATCGTTAATATGCATAGAGATTGGGAAAAAGGAATTGTTCCGGATTTCTCGAGTGAAGATATTTAATTATATATAAAATACGGAAAAACTATTAGACCTAGATTTACTAAAATCGCAGCTGAAGAGCTTTAAAAATCATACGTTAAATTAAGATCTTAAGATGCTACTTCTTAAAATACTTCATATAGAATAACTGTTAGATAACTTGAATCCCTTATTAGATTAAGCGAAGCCCTTGCAAGAATTCACTTAAGTGCTGAAATCTAACCTGAATATGTTAAGGAAGCTACTAGATTACTAAGTATGTCTATTATTAAAATCGAAAAAGGAGAATAAGATTATGCTATTGAAGAAGATTAAGGTACTTAAGAATTGGTTACTGCTATGGAATAGCATAATATAATTGTAAATTTTTTGATTTTTTTTAATTTTTTAATTTTTTTACTTTAAGTAACAAGAAATTGATGATAAAATTTAATAAGAAAGATAATAATAAAAAGTTGTTAAAATGACATACGAAGAATATTATAAAATTAAATAAACTATTATTTAAACAGTTAAAACAATGTAAATTTAATTAGAATAAGCTGCTGGTGGCGAAATGGAATAAGAAATTTAAAGTATTTATTTTTTTATTTTTTAAATTTTTTATTTTATTTTTTTAGATGGAGTTAGTTAACGAGATATAATCGAATAAATTATTTATGAATAATTTGAATAAGATAAATAAAATTAAGATCTATAAAAGGCCTTTTAATTAAAAAAACTATATGCAGCAATAATTAAAAAACTTATAGAAACAGAAAATATATTAATTATTACTGAAGATTCTAGAAATTTTGATGATCGTAAATTAGCTATACATGCTAATTATTCTGAAGATTTTTGAGGAATTTTAATAAAATTCGAATTAATTTAATGTAAAATGAATAATAATATTTATGTATATTTTAAGGCTTTTTTTATTTATAATTATTAAAAAAACATCAATTAAAATATATTTTTATAAAAAAAATTAATTATAAATTAATATTTAATACAGACTTTACATTTTTATTTATAATAATCAATACTAATATAATAAATTAATATAAAATTTATTATATTGATAAAATAATTTATATTAATTTTAATTTTTACTTAATTAAACTTATTTCATATTTTATGTTTGAAATTTTTAAAAAAAGTATTTTTAAAAAATATTTTATGAATTTTAGATAAAATATTTATAGAATTAAAGTTTTATTTAATTAATTATTATTAAAAGTAATATAAATTATTATTAATTAAAAATATAATTAATAATATAAAATAAAAATATATGATTATAAATTACATATTTAGTATTATTGTCATATAATAAAATATATTTTTTAATAAATTGTAATTACTATTATTTTATATTACCATTTTATACAATTTTTTATAATTTTTGTTAAGTATTTTTTTAAAAAAATATTTAATTTTATAATTTCAATAATTATGTTTTATACAAAGAAATATTTTTATTTATTAAAATAAATATATAATTATTTATATATTTATTATTATTTTAAATATTTACAATTATTAAAAAAAATTCAAATAATAAATTAATCAAAGACATATGCTTAAATTTTAAACTTGCAATTTCAGTTTATATTATTCATTAAAACTACAACAAAATACCAAAATAACCCATATATGTGATATAAAATTGATATATCTAAATTTTTAAAATTATTAAAAAAAAAATTCTTATTTTATAAAAGAATTATTAGATTTTGAGTTTTGATTATATTATGATAAAAAAGAGAAATTTTAATTTAATAGTAAAAAAGTATTTGTAAAATAATTTAATTGATATTAATTTATTTATATAATATAAATCTTTTTAAAAACTATAAATTATTATCAAACTATTATTTTAGCTTTAAAAAAGCATTAATAATATATTTATCTCTATTAAATATTTATTGTTAAAAATATAAGGGTTCTTACTTTTTTTATTTGAAAAAGAAAATATAATATATTAATTGATATTTATATTATAGATGATAAAATAGTCATTCATTCAATTTTTTTCAAAGTATATTTATTTTTTAAAAGATAAATAAAATTCTTATTTTTTAAAAAAAGAAGACAAATTAACTATTATTTAAATAATTTTGAAATTGAAAAATAAAATTCAATATTATCAAAATAGATGAGACTAAAATATCAACAACTATAACATATTTAGGTTATTTATTACAATTAAAATTTTAAATACTTTCCTTTAATCTGTATCTATAATAACCTTAAATAAAAATATTATTTTAGTTTTATATTTACATTTATTTAAATGCATATAGATTATTTTAAAAATATATATATAATATTCTCTTTTAATTTTTTAATTATATAATAAATAAATTATTTGTTCATATTTTTATTTTATTTTATTTTTTAAAAAATATATCAAAACAAAATGAATATAAAGATAAATATTTTTGCAGCAATTATTCAAGTATTATTTATAGTTATTAAATTTAAAAAATAAATAATTAAACAAAAAAAAAAATTAATAATAAAAAAAATACATTTATTATATTTAAAAAAAAAATATAAAATATATAAATAATATAAATTTATATATTAATATATATTTATAATAAATATGATATTGTTAATAAATTTAGAATAAAAATAAATAATTATATATAATTTTAAATAATAACTATATTACTAGAGTAAATATAATATATTAAGTTTACTTAAATTTTATATTAAATAAATAAAGTAACATTAGATAAAAAATAACATAATTTTAAAAATTTATATTGATAATAATAAATAAAATATAATAAAAAAAATATTCATATATATATATTATAATAAAAAAAAATATAAATATAAATATATATATATATATATTTATATATATAATTTACATATATTTATATATATACATATATTTACATATATTTATATAAATTATTATTATTATTATTATTAATTTTTTATTATTATTATTATTAATATTTTTTTAATTATATTTATTTATATTATTATCATATTTTTTATATTTTTTAATTTTTTTCTATAATTTAAGTTCTTTTTATATTGTATTTTATATTTTATTATTATATTTTTTTATTTTTATTATATTTATAAATATTTTTTTTAAATTATTTATATTTTAAATTTTTTTTTATTATAATATAGTTAAATATTTTTATCTTTATTTATTTTTATTATATTTTTTTTATAATTTATTTTTTTATTTTATTTTATTATATTTTTAATTAGCTACATTTACATAATATTTATTTTTTAAAAATTTTATCTATTTTTTAATATACCATAAATATTTTATAAATATATTTATCATTTTAAATACAATTACTTATTTTATATTTTTAAATAATTTTTATGTGTTTTTTTTTACAAATCATAAATAAAAATCTAATTCACTGTAAAATTAAAAGTTTATGTTTATTTCTTTTTAATATTTATAAACAAAGAATAATACTTAATATATATTTTATTTTAATTAATTAATATTTTTAAAAGTAATATTTTATTTTAAATTGATAAATTTTTAACAGATATTTAAAATTCTAATGATTATGATCAACTTTTTCTTTTGTAATTAAACTTTAAGATTAACTTTTTATAAATTATTTATTTTAATTTAAAACATAAATTAATAAAAGCTTTTTTTAGTAATGCTAAAAATTATAAATATAGTAAAAAATAAAATTAATTATTAAAAAAAGATTTTTTTTCTGATAATTTATTTTGAATAAAACATTACATATATAAAAGTGTTTTGCTTATATAAATATAGGATAAAAAAAAATTATATTATTTTTAGGCCTATTTACTTATTTTAAACCTAAGTCTACAAAATTTCGTTCCTTATTTTAACGACTCACTTTATTCTGAATAGTTTTTAAAAGAATAAACAAAGACTAAAAATATTCATTAACTTTTAACAATTAAATATTAATATTTAGGGTTAATAATAAAGTTTATATATTACAAAAATATTAAATGATGATATGTTCACTTTATATCAAACAAATATTAATTTAAAAAATATAAAAGAAAATTATTAACTAATTTATAATTTACAATTCCATCTGATCTTCGTTAATAAATATATAGATAAAAATTTATCTCCAAAACTAAATTATTAGATACAGCTTATAAAAAATAGAAAACTGAAAAATAAGATTATAATTTATTAATATATATAGGATTTTTGTTTTGTTTTTTGTTTTGTTAAATAATTAACTTCATTAATAATTTATAAATAAATTAAATATTTTATTATAAAAGATTATAACTTTTACTATTTTTATTCGAAATTTCATTATCTAGATTATGATAAAAACCATTAATTTTAGCAGAAAAAAGGCATTTAAATACTTTTCATTAAATAAATTTTTTACAAACAATTGGACAAAAAACACCAAAAAGCGCTTTAATATTACTTTTGACTTAATTAAAATGAATTTTTATCTTTATTAAAAAATAATATTTATATGGTGACTGCTATATTTAAAAATAGAGTATATGTCTTTATTATATATTATGGTTCTATTAAAATAGACTTGAATTAATTTATATTTTTTACGGATAAAGCCATTATAAATAATTCATTTTTTTTCTATAATCTACTGTATTCACCACTGTTCATTAATAATATAGAAGAATTTTACACTATAATTAAGTATTACATACTAAAAAAGAAGTTATAAAGCAAGGGTTCGGGTGCTTATTTATGACATTCATTACTTTATTTGTAAGATAAAATTAATTAATCTAATTTAATATGTATATGTCGGTTTGTATAATTGTTATTATAAAAATATTTAATATAGAAAATATAATAATTGAATATATTTTTAATTATTTGCTAAATCTATCAATATTTTAATGATAACCATCTTAAGTATAATTTTCTAATGAATAATATGACTTCTATATTTATTTTTTTAACTAATTAAAACAAAACTTTAAATATATAAATAAACTTAATATAATAGTTTTAAAATTAAAAAAATTAAGTTTTCAACAAAAAAATAAAAATAATTAAAAAAATGCGACACTACTAAAAAAAAAATAGGAAATAAAATTAATTAAATATTTTTTTTATTTATTATTATTTTTATTAATTATTTTATTTAAATTTCATAAAAATTACTATCTATCAACAAGTATTATTAAGTTAAAATAGATTATATTCTTTTGAAATGAAGATATAGTATATAAATATTGAAATTAATTAATTTATTTATTCTGAGATTTTATTTTTTTATCTAATTTTAATTTAAAAATGTACTACTAACAAAAAAAAAAAAAGTTATCCACTTTATTTCATCTTGTTTTCTTTTGGAGATTATGTTTTTTTTTAAAAAATAAACTATCTGAATAAGTATTATAAATAGTTCAGTCTATTATATAATGGGTGCATAATATTTTCAATATATTTATATAAATATTCTAATATTGGCTTTTATATTTATTAAAATTAATAGAACATAAAAAGAACAAATAATTCTTTTAATGAAAATATATAAAAAGATTAATTTTTAATAAAAATTAAAAAAAAAATATAATAAAAACAAATAAATAGTAATACTAATGTAATTTCTTATATATTTTTATAAATAAAAATTTATAAATATTTATATTTTCAATATTTTGCATCTATAAAAATAAAAGAAAGACTTTAAAATTATATATAATATTTGTATTAAAAAAATTAATTTAATATTTTTATTTTTATTATATATGAAATAAAAATATTTATATAAATAAATAATAAATAACTATATATTAAATAATTAAATTTATCATTTATATATATATATAATATATAAATATATAAATATATATATTTATATATTAAAATTTTTATATATATATAATTATGTTTTTATATATTTTTAATTTTTTAATATTATTTTAAATAAAATATTAAATAATCACATTT